GTCGGGTCTAGACGAATAATTTTAACCGTAAACAACAACAAAAAAAGATATTTTTCTGCTGGTTTTCTTTATTTTACTTAAAAAGAAGCAGAGATTTCCTACATAATTCAGCACTAAGAAGAAGGCATTTAGTTATTTCTAAAAGGATTAATCAATTTATGATCACTGCTGCCAGATGACAAGGATTTAAAAAGCTTGCAATGAAGCAATCATCCGGACGTGAGGTAGGCACTCACCACCTGGTGGAGAGCAGGAAGTTTGTATGACACACAGAGGTGTAAACACGGTTGTAGGACGTTTTACAACCTGGAGTCATTATTGTGCCATTAGGTTGCCAGGCAACCAAATGATTGCCCCCCCCCAGGCACGGTTTCAGGTGTCCCCCTTGGATCACAGGTAAGAGCTTTGCTGCGCCTGTCATTCACTGAAAGGCAAAATGAACGCAGAGAACTCCGTCCACTTCCGCCGGGGTTGACAGGAAAGCCTTTTAAGGGCATGGGTGTTGTTACCCAGGTAACTGAGCCGGAGTGAGAGTGACCTTTTCTCCATTTTTATACCTTTGACTTAAAATGTATAGGAAGATAGACAGACAAACAGACAGAAGAAAACGTAAGCTCCTTGGCTGAGGTAATTAGATTTACAACTGAATACTAACTCTGCACATCAACCTGAACACACCTTCCTCTACTGTCACACACGGTGGTGGTTTCATCATAGTACGGGGGCTCTTTTCTTTAGCAGGGAGGTTAGACAAAATCCGACATAGAGATGTACCTCACCTATCCTAAAATTAACCCATCTCTTTGGCATGCTTTAACAGCATTTTTAAACATTTAACATTGAGCTGTATGGATATTTTAGTTGCATTTAAGAAAATCTAATCATCCCCCATTTGTAACGTGAACCTGCAATCTTATATAGGTCAAGGTATCCATTTAGTTTTTCTTGTAATCTGGGATTAACAGATTAATTAATCAGCTCCATGTGGTCAGAAGGATGATTTTTATTGTGAAAGAGTTGTTTTGCATTAAACCTAGGAGGTTGAACAGCTTTCTTCTTTTTAACCACTCATAATGCATCAAATCCTATTATTGGCGTTGTTAGATAGCTCAAACTTTCTTGAAAAACTCCCAGTATAAACACGAATGTCTGACCGGGGTCAGACGTGCCAACATGTTCTAACTTTTTCCCTATTAATATCACACACCGACGCACCGACAGTCATAGGGAGAATAAAATCACCCTTATTTTTTTTATTTTTTTGCTAAAGAAGCAATACAGTCATCCTGACCAACAGTTATACTTTCATAACTAAAGTCTAATCTCTGGTGGCACATGTTTGGAGAATTCCCTGGAAAATTTAAGGAGGTTTCCAAACAGATCATTATTACCAAAAAGTCTCTTATCCAGCAGCCAGGCCCAGGCCACCCACTCTTCCTTTTTGACATTTCTGATATCGCACAATGGAGAGAGAGGACTATTTTCCAGTGAATAATCAGCTGTCCTGTTGGTCCACATCAAACGTGGCTCCAGGGTCAAACTCACCCACTCACTTCTGGGTGTGTCAGATCTCCTGGGCTTGACACCTTTCAATAGACAGAACAGATCACAGAACCAACAGGAAAAACATGGAAAGAGCCCTCTCTCCAACCGATGATCTCATGCTTGGATTATCAGGGGAGAAAAAAAAGTTTCTGAGCAGGTTCTTCAGGAAGATTCAGAGAAAATACCACAAAATAAAAACTGCTAGGGCAGATCAAAGGCACGTGGACGTATGTGGATTTGTCTGATAGCCATTGTGCGTGTCAGGAGGTTTACACATATTAGTGTGTTTTACTAAGGTGTGTCTTGAATCATTGTTGAGTTTTTGAGAAAGGAGTTGTACGGCAATAAACTTGAATATTTCCGCAACACTTTCAGTAGACAAAGATAAAAGATGAGAGCCCTGGATGGCACTTGTTTCTGTTAATGATTAATACATATTTTGAATGTTGCTATGTAGTCATAACACACTGAATAATTTGCCAGAAACAGTAAAAAATTGTTACGTTGACACATTCTTTACTTAAGATATATCATAACTTATTAAGATCAATGTTATTTTGATTTTTTTCTGCATTAGAATGTTAGCACTATTTGGCCTATTTAACCCCATCTGGCATTAATGTATACTGATACTCCAAAAGCCACCTGCCACCTGCTATTCACAAACTAACATAACCAACAACCACTTCAAAGAGTATGAGAATTTATTAGTGGGCACCTGGACGTAGTTTATGTGTGCAAGCTCAAGAACAGAGGTAATAAAACTGTCCTCATGTGGATGGCTCTGCTCCCATTAAGTAAAAAGGTTTTATTGAACTTCATGGAAGGGACCTTTCCTACAGATGTGGTCAAAATAAAATGCACTGTGTGCTCACAGAGTTACACTGTGTTTCTGCAGAATGTAATTTGTTTATAGTTTACTTTTTTTAAATAAAACATCGCAGCTTAAAATGATATTTTACAATAAACATTACATCATCATAATTAGTGAGTTGAAAGTAGGAGCCATCAAGTAACCGTGAAAACACCAGGCTGTTATTTGGTGTTGCACAGTGACCTCTAGTGGTGAAAAAGAATATGTGACACATAAAAAAAAAATTAGATAGCTGGAATACTGTCACATGAAATATATATAGTTATATTTTACATACTGAAAAAAAATGTATATTGAAATTATACTTTTACAAAAAACATCATTACGTCATCAGAACCAGTGAGTTTAAAGTATGAACCGTACACACACACATTTGGAAAAAGTTCAGTGACCGCTTAGGGGTCCAGGTTAACTAGGGGGCCGCTTGCTCCTGTTAAGGTATTTAATTGTTTTGAGGGGCTTTTTGCATTGAAAATGATTTTTATGTATATTTGGCAACAAAAACTGATATATATATTTTAAATTGCATTTTTACATCAATTAATATTGAACAATTAGGTATTTTTTAACAAAGAATTTAGGAGAAATAGTTCTTGTAGATGAAAGAAACGTGGGCTCGATGCCAGACTGACACGAGACAAGGAAGGACCAGTGTAAACTTTTTAGAGACAAACTTTTCTTAAGAGAAGAGGCTGTTAGTGATGAGACTGTACAGGCTCTACAGATGGAAAACCTGCTGACATCCTAAAAGACAGATTACCTAATTAATTGACTTCTATTAACTCTCAAAATTAGATCTGTGGTTTAACCTAATCTTTAGTTATTGGAATGGCCTGAACTCTTCCTGTGAATGCTACATTTTCAAGCTCATACAAATAAAGAAATACCTTAGATCTGCATGGTAGACAAATGATGGACTGGGCTGGCAGTGATTAGTCTTAACAAAGTTGTCTTTCAGATCTCTTATGGTGATGCCATCTGTGACTTTGCACATAAAAACAACAAAATCATAATCAATTTTCATCATAAACTGATGTTTTAAAGTCAGTTTATGAAGAAAATCTAGTTGCCCTAAATATTTAAAGAGGTATACACTTTTTTGCATCACTTTCAGTAGTCGGTTCTCTACAGCAAGTTGTAAAACCAGACCTTATTTGAGATTTCAAATATCCTGCAAGGCGAAGAAACCCATACCTCTATAGGGCCCTAAACAGAATGTCATTTTAGCTCTCTCTATTTCTGTCATTAATATGTATTCCTGCAATCAACAGTTGGATCATCAGATCATTCCCACACTTATTATAAACTCATTGCAGCTCTGGCAGTGCCGTTTACACTGTTACACTGTTTTGGTTTCAACTTCAACCGCAGTGTGCAAAAATAACCTGTACTTCAAAAACAACAACAACAACAAAGGTTTACTGAATCAAAATTGTACAAAATAATAATAAAATAAATTAAACAAAAACATGTCAAGCATGTTTTAAAATAATGGAAATAAAAAACATCGAAAATTAAGCAGAAAATTAAATTTCAAATTTTAATAATTAGGTTTTAAAGTGTCTAAATGGATGTAACTATATAGAAAAACTATTTGAAAACATAAGCTCTCTCTCCCACATATGATTGTTCATCTTTAGTTCTCTGCTCACTTTCTATAATCTGTGCTCCCTGCTTTTCTGTGCAAAATCAATGATACAATTAGTGTAAGAGATCTCACAACTAAACACTCCCAGCTCACTCATGATATGTGTCTACCATGAAAGATCTCAGCTAGTTCTACAGTAATATGAGCTTGGAAAAGCTCTACCCTGTAGATGCAACATTCACAGGTAGAGTGCAGGCCTTTCCAACAGCAAGTAAATAGGTTAATAAATGAGGTCAGCTGTATTTCAGGGCGTCTGGAAGGTTTTCCTTCTCTGAAGCCAGTTCACTTTCATCACAAACAGACTGCTCTACTCTGAAAAATCTTTTTTTGGAAAGATGTTTACACTGGTCCTTCCACGTTCTGAGGTCAATCTGGTATCTGGCAATTTTTTATGTATGAGCAATGCTTTCTTCATGATTACATACATTTTGATGCAAAAAAATGCACAGTTTTAAAAAGGTAAAGCTATGTTTTATCATCCCCCTAGTTAATTTGGGACCTTAAACACACTGCAAAAACCATCTACAAATAAGTATAAAATTTCTTAAAATAAGTGTATTTACCCTTAATTTTAGTAGGTAAATAAGACGATTTGCCAATGGAATGAGTATTTCTACTCCTAAAATGAGACAATTAGATAATATTCACTTGAAATAAGACAAAGCAATTTTTTTCTTATTTTAAATGTAAATTGTCTTGTTCCATTGGCAAAGTGTCTTACTTATCTCCTCAATTCAAGACAAAATTCACTCAATTTAAGCAAAAATAACTCATACAGATTTCCATTTTTTGCAGTGCAGTACTTAGTTTGCTTATGCCGTGAGTCAGCGCTGTGCAAGACTATAATTTATTACTAACTGACAGAAGAGTGAAAAGAATAAGTCAGCAAAGAATGAATACAGTAAATTGAACATTAAATATTTTATTGACAGTGCTGCATTGAATTGTAGACATCGAGCACACAAAGTCATTCAACCTGTGTTGATGCATTATCAAAATAAATATGAGGTCTTTTCATACCGCATTTTCAAGTTTCTGTGGACATTTGAAAAAGAAAGGCACAACAGTAAATTCCTACAACCACAGATTTCTTGCTCTTGTGCATCACTTTAGTTGACCTAAATAGAAAAATTTAGGTAATATTGAATAGAAACCGCTCATAAAAAAGGCCCACACAAGTGTATTTTCAAAGCCACCAACCTAAAAATCTTTTTTGTGGAAGCAGAATCAGCAAATAAACAACAGCCAAAGAATTTTAGTCTTCAAACTCAAATAACATCTCAGACTAACATTAGATGCCCCATTTATACACAGTGTATTTTAAACTGTAGGGGCTCCAGCAAGGCGGCCTCTGCCCTCTATTTCAGGACCTTTTCCCCCCAGGTGGGGGTAAGCTGGAAGGATGCCTGTGGTAATACTCTGGTGGGGTGGTATTTGGGCTTGCATTTATCACACTTTGGACATAATACATATTCTCTGGGTACCTTTGGTCCAATTGGGGGTGTTTTTTGTGTTCTTGCTTAGATCCCTGTCCTGAGGGATTTCTGTAGTTGACCCCAGGCCCACTTGGATGCACAGTAGGAGCAGCAGATGCGTCAGGATATTGGGGTGGTTGAGGCTGAGCCTGGGGGTGTGCTAATGGAGGAGCAGCACAGGGTATATACTGAGGGGCCTGGGCATAGATGTTTGGGTTGTGGAGTGGTGGGAAAGGGGCAGCAGTGGGAGGGTACAGGCCTGAATGAGATATAGCTTGCTGTGGGATTAGCACTTCTACGTACTGGCCAGTCTCTGGGTCAAACAACATTTTCCTTAGTGGTTGCACAGGTACCTCGATATAAAAATACTTTCCTGTTTCAGGATCAAGGAGCACTCTACGAGGTGGTTGTGCAAAGCTACCTTCTGAATAAACACTAGAGCTGTCACCACCATATTCTGAACCATAGGAGGGTCCCATGTTTTGGGGGCCACAAAGGTACTGAGGGTCCATAGGAGGCAGACCAGGAGAGTGACTGTGGCCTGGATCGCTGTAAGGAACCCCAGTTAGGCCTGCTGGCTGTTGATGAGGAGATCTGCGGACAGGAGGCCTTCTAGCTCCAATATGCTGCTGTAGTGGAAGTGAGCGGTCAGCAGGACAGCTCTGCACAAGGGAGGGATGGGAGGCACAATTAGCCGAGTGATGGATAGACTGGTACATGGACGGTGGGGGATTTGGACCAAGTGGGCTTGATTTTGGAGATCTTGGTTGGTAACCTATTGGCTGGTGTTCGGGTCTACAGTGATGGGGGGGAAGAGGGGGCTGAGCCATTTGGTAAGGAAATGTTGATCCTGGAGAGTGTGACAGGCAGGGTGGGGTTAGGTCATGGGGACTGCAGTGATGGTTAGGAGAAGTGGGACCACAGTGAGAGGAGTAACTAGCTCCACAGGAACAGGGAGGAAGGGACGAAGGTTGATACTGATTAGACCTCACTGAAGTCAAATCAGGCAGCAAGAGGGGACTGAAGCTCTCTCTTTCATCATAGCTTGGAGGGTCATCTGAGGCATAAAAATTGTGGTCGTCTATCCTCTGGACATCACTGGGAGGCACTCTGCTGTATGGGTGATGGGTGTACCTTTGTGTAGAAGTAATGGAAGGCACTTGTTTTACAGTGCTGGAGGTAACCGGCCTAGTTTGCTCATGGGCACACGTTTCCCCAGAGTACTGCAGTTGACTGTCTGGGTCCCCTGAGGTTGACTGCTCAGCTTCAGATAGTATAGATCCAGTGTTTTGGTTTGGATTTGGCTCTGGAACAAGTTGTGAGGCAACACCTAAAACTGTGTCTGATGTAGCTGGAGATGCCAGTTTCTGTGCATGCCTTGTGCTCTGAGGAGGAGCAGCAGATGGTTGGTGTTGACCTCTATCAGTAGCTGCCTCTGTTCCTGAAAAAGCTGTTGACGCGTTGGAGACACTGGAGACAGGGGCTGCTGTCCTGTGAGGTGGAGGTTTAAGGCTTGACACAGCTGATACAGCAAGTTTTCTTGAATAGTTTGATGATGAGACAGCCTCATTGGAAATCTTCCTGTAGACTGTTGGTGAGCTCACTACAATTGTCTGAGGTCTCTCCTCATTTCTTTGTTTTCCAGCAGATGAGGCTGATGACGTTCTGTGTGCTTCATTTGCCCCGTTACCTGAATTCCCAGGCTTAAATTTGCAGTTTGGCTTTGGGGGCACAACTGGTTTTTGAACATGTTTAGCTATGGATTTCACCTCAATCGTTTGAGGTCTATGGTTTCCCTTAGAGGAGTTGGATATTTCCTTTTTCTCTATTTCTTTCAATGGTGACCTGGTGTCACTGGGCTGTGGTTTGAATCTTCGTATTGCAGGGGACCTCGGAGGAAAAGTAGGATCTAGTCTTTTGACTGCTTCAAAATCTACTATGGTGTCTTTTTGTTTGGTGGGTACTGTCGTATGCTCCTTTGTTTCCGTTTTTGTCCTCTCAGTAACATTCTTTGGAGGCTTAATGCTTAATTCCTCTTCTTCTACTGGCTTTTTGAAGACTTCTACACTTTCAGTTGTTCCCGAGGGGCCAGAAGTGGTGGACGAGGAGGAGCATGTTCTCTCTCTGTGAGACTCAGGAAAACCTCTTTCTGAAGGATGGATGGTCTGAAGAGGGATCTCCAGTGAGTTAACATGCTTACAGGGAACTTCTTTCACTTTAGAGGAGTTCTGACTGTCACCCATCACTGCTCCAATGTCAGCTTGATAACCTTTCTCCTTTAAAAGCATTGAAACCGAGTGGCCACCACTACCACCAACCACTCCGCCAGAGGCAGAGGGCCCTGGTGAGAGGGAAGCGGGAGCTTTGAGTAAAGTAGAGGTCTCCTCATGGGTTAAAGATGCCGACAAGTTGGGTTTATTTGACTTCTCTCTTATCAAAACTACAGCAGTGGACACCTCTCTCTCCTTACTTGGTACCTTCGGGATGTTTCCGAGCATGGGGGTTTTTTGGTCTGTTCTAACCAATGCAGGCTTATCCTCACTACTTGGCAATTTCAGGATATCTGTCACAGTCTCTTTCTTTGATGCTGAGAGGCTGATATCACATCTGTCAAGCTCCTCAACCATCTTATCTTCCCTTGTGTGTTTTAGTGTGTTTGAAATTAAGTTTGCATCTGGAGGAGATGCTGAAGAATTTTTGGGTTTATCGTCGAAGTCTTTCTTGATGCTTGACATTTTATTTTTGTCATCTTTCCAACAAACAGCCTTGCATTCAATTTGCATAGGTTGCAGACAAAGCTGAGAATTAATTTTGTTCTGAGCAGAATCAGGTAATACCGGAGTCTCTGAATCTTTCGCCTCCTCTTTATGGCCTTGTGTTCTCAGTATCCTGAGCTCTTCTTCTCCTTCCTCTCTCTTTTCTTCTCTGCTTACTTCCTGTAACACATTTCCACCCTTCGTTGCTGATACCTTCTCCATCTTTTTCTCATAGCAACTTTCTTCAATAACATTTGATGGGTTAACAGGACTAACCGCCTTGAATGATAGGTTGTAAGTATTTTTCACAAGCCGCCTTACATCTCTAACTTTATGAATGGGAGCCTTAAAACCGTCCTCATCATGCCCCTCTACTTGTATTTTGCCTTCGACTTTGGTCTCTGCCTTTTCCATCTCTCCAGCAGATGTGTCTGGTGGAAAGGGCTTGCTTTCTGCCTCGGGTGTCAGGCAGACTTTTAGTGAGGCCTTCTTTTTTTCAACAGGTTTGAGTGCCATCTCCTGCATTTTAGATGTGTAGTCATCTGTTTCTTCTTGCAGCATTTGTCTGTGTTGTTTATTGTTTTCCTGTTCTTGGTCTTTGTTGGTCACTCTTGCCTGCATGTTGTTGGCAACATTTGCTGAGGAGGCTCCTGTGTCCCAAGCAGAAGCTTTTACTGATTCACAGGCTACCCTTTCATGTGTTTTCCAGCACTGTAAATCTGCACTGTCGCTTTCAAACTGTGTATTGATTTTTGATTTAACCTCCGAAGGTGTTGATTTTGTACTTCTTGTTTGGGAATCTTCTTCTTCACCTTCTTCACAATCAAGCTGGGGAAATGTAACACTTCTGCAACTGCTGGATGAACTTGGCCTATAACTACATTTTACTCCATGGTCCTTTGGAACAGTGTTTTGATTCTTCATGCCTGACTCTTCCCTCAGTAAAAGTCCCCCAGAAGACAGACTGTGATCTGACTGAAGACTGGAACTCATATTGCTAGAGTCAAGTTTCAGTGACTCTTCAGATGGTGCCATCCCACTCTCTGTTGGTGGGCTACCTTCTCCTCTTATTTGCTGATCCGGCTGTCTGTCAACTACTTGCATCTTCTTTGACAACACGTTCTTGATATGGCATGAGGCAATCTTGGTTTTAGAGCATGTTTCATCCATAGAGGCAGATTTCTGGAGTTTGAACTGTCTTCCTTTTTGCCGTGGTATCTCAGAGCTGCTATCAGAAGTGGGAGTTTTTTGTATTGCTGCTGGTGTACTGTGCTGTCTCACAAAGATCCCTCTTGGATGAATTTCTTGAGAGGGGCTCTCCACCATGGCTGGTAACCCGGGACTACTAGTTTCACTGCTCTCATCTTGCTTCCCTTCTGTATTATTCCGTCTCTTCAGCTGGATCTGTCTTTTTGGTACACCTCTTCTCACCTTCCTGCTGTCCTCCCTTTCCACAGCTACATCAATGCATTCAAAGCTCCCCAACTCATATCTCTTTGATGGATCCAGGCAATCAAAATTGTGAGAATACTGCTGGTGAGAAGAGAGTTCATCAAGGTCGAGCTTTGGTGCAGAGCCTTTGAAGTCAGCATATGACAACCAGGCAGCATTGAGCCCAGCAGGGCTGTCGAGAGTAGATGGCTGAGAAATGTTTGCAGATGAACAGTGGCTGGAGTTGTACATTTCAAGGTAATCTACCTCAGGACTTGAGAGGCTGCGGAAAGCAGCATCGGTAAGCCACTTCACTTCATTGTCTGCTTCATCAAGTTCACTTCCCATACTGGAGCTGGAGCTTGGACACTGCCTGTTAGTGGCCACACGTCGAGGCGCACTTCTCCTATCCTGGGATGTGGGGGGTTTAAGTCTTCTGATGCTGCTGCAACCACTGGGGTCTGGCTTAGGTGAGAGTTTAAACCGACTCTGTTGCTGCTGTGACTGTCTTGTTGCAGGAAGACTCTCTGAATAAGAATATGCTGTTGGCAGTCCCTGGCGGGTGTCTCTGGTTGTGGGAGCTGCACCGTGACTCACAGGTCCTTTTCTATTCCTGGGATTGAATGACAGCTCAACCTGTTCCCCTCTGTAACTGGTAACCCCCTGCCAACCCTCCCTATCAGGAGGCTGCTCCTCCCTCTTTCCCTCCCTGTTCATCCCCTTATCCATTTGCCCTTCCATAACTTCTTCCCTCTCCTGCTCCAGTGGCATGTCACTGTCTATCTCCAATTGCTTTCCAGGTCTGACCCACTGGGCCTGGCTATTATTGTCAACAGGGTCAACATTGGGGCTTTCCCTGTGGGTTGCTGCTTCTGCTAAATTTCCACTAAGTGGGGATTCTAAAACTTGAGAGGGGCTATTGCTTCTGTTCTGCCACTTTCTGTATGGTTTCTGTGGGGCTATAATGTGTACAGGTGTAAACCTAGTGAGCGGAGGAGAAGGAGTCTGTCTTCTGTTTACATGACGGGACATATCCCCTGCTAGCCTCTCTCTGTCTTCTTGTATAACTTTGGGTAAAAGTTTTCTTCTTGAGTTCTGAGGGGTGTAAGTCCAACTTTGTGGACAAAAATCACTGTCAAAATCTGGAGAGTGGGAGGCAATCAGAAGATGGAGATTGTCCTGTTTTTGCACAGGTTCCCTAGACACAGCTTTATGTGTGGCTCTGTTGCTTGTAGTTTCACAAGGAGATGTTATTTCTTCCTCAGAAAAGGGGGTTTGAGAACTGAGTTTTTCCCGAGTTAAGAGGACTACACCTGATCTTTCTTTGCAGAATTCTTCCTGTTTTGTCTCTATTTCTGAGATGTGTTGTTTCTGGTAGTTGTGGGAATTTTTATCTGATAAGAAAGATATAGGTGTGCAAACTTCCACCACTGATAAATCTTTATTAAACTCAGCCACACTTGTTTCCTCTCTCCTCTCTAAATTCAACAAAGGTGACACGGCTTCCCTTGCCAGACCTGTAGGTGACGGTATTCCTGTGCACCCTACAGTATTGAAACCTGAGGGACACTCAGTTTCGCTGTCTATGGGAACAGGTTTTGTATAAAGGGGATTTAAGTCTGTAGAGGGTACTTCTGGTGATTGCTGGTATCTCAGCCCTAAAAATGGAGTTTCATGTGATGGATTATGGAGCTGAGAGGAAAGGCTTTGAAACTCTGGTGAACAGGTCTCAAATCTATGTTCAGGTAAGGATGGAAGATAGACTGGCTGAAGAGAGGGTGTCTGGCTTCTGGGCTGAGACAGTGAACCAGAACTTTGGATGTCTATATGAGGAGAGTTTCTTTGGCTTCTTGTCGACTCTGCTGCACTGGTGTCTGAACTGTCTTTACCAGATTCAGGGGACTGAAACTCGTTTGGATTTGGGGAGGAGATATGAGAGAGTTCAGGAAATGGAGGACTGGTCCTGTCCTCAGGCTGAATAACAGAATAGGACACACCCGTGATTTGAGCAGGGTAAGTAAAGCTTCTTGGTGAGGGGGGGCAAACGTGGGGCTCAGAGAGAGGAGACTTTGATGCTGATTTTACTTGAGAGGTCTGCTCATTCCAAAAGAGCTCTAGGGATGGTGATACAACACCTGCCTCAGGTGATGGCAAAGAGTATCTTTCCTCTAAAGGTGAGCTGCTCTGCTGAAGTTCTAGTGATGGATTTTCTTGTGATTGTTGCTCTTCTCTCACGGGCTCTGGAGAGGAGGATATAATTCTTATTTCAGGTGATGGGGTGGTATATCTCTCCTCTAAAGGAGCGTTGTTCTGATGCACTCTAGATAATGGAGATAAACTATTAATAACCACAGGTGAAGACACTTGGCTTCTGCTCTCAGAACACTCTAAATTGTTTTGTATTACAGGTGAGGCAGCAAGGGGTGGAGTTCTTGACAGACTGACTGGAAAGGCGGGACTAAGTAACTGAGGTGAGGTCCCTGTGCTATTTATTCCAGCTGAAACTGCTGCCTCTAGAAGTTCAGGAGATGAGGCTGTTGAAATGACAGAAGAAGGGGGTGTATACTCAAGGCCTGGTGTAGAAAGAGAGCTACCTTGTCCTGTTGACAATCCTGTGTCCTGGCTTTCAGTAATGGATGTGGTATCTCTTTCAGCAGTGGAAAGATCAGAAATAAGTTCAGTGGTGTTGCCAGAATCGTTTCTATCAGGGGTAGAACCTCTACTAAATAGATCAGGTACAGAAACTCTCCCTCCTAACTCTGAGAAAGGGGATGACACTTGTGTTCTGGGAGAAGTATTTCTGTGCTCAGGGAAGACGAACTGTCTCTCAGAGGGAGATTTGGAATCTTCACGCTGGGAAGACGAATAGATGGTTGTAGATTTCAGGTCTGTATAATCCTGAGATAACTGGATATGGGCCTCACAAGTTGAACTGTTGTTTTGATGCGACTGGCTGTCTATCGGTTCATGCAAGTCTTGTGGAAGTGATGGACTCAAAGACTGAATTGAGGCACGGTGTCTGTCTTTGAATGGAGGAGTTATTGTGCTTGGTTCAGTTTCAGTTTGGGCTCCCTGGGTGCCAGGTGTCAGAGGTAAGAGTCCTTTTTCAGCTGAGGAAGAAGACAATGATGACAACCTTCCTTCTGGATTAAAGATGCATGGGCTGATAGATCCAGGAGAGGGCGTTGTCTGGCCACTATTAAGGCTTTGAGAGGATGGGGTGATGGATGAAGGGGTATTTGTATTTTGCAGGAGTACAGGGTTTATTTTTGGTTCAGAATTTGAAATGCTATCCTCTGAAACCTGTGAATGTTCAGAGTTCAATCCTTTTTCATCTGATTGCCTCCCATCAATTGACTCTTTTTGCCAGACAGGGCTATAATACCTTTCTCTTGAATCATCAAAGCCCTCCTCTCCCTCACTCGACCCTGGTGCAGTGTGATAGCTGCCAGAAGAATCATTCACATCATCCACGGATGGTGATGCAGCAGCACAGTCATTCACCTCTGTCTGAGAAGGGACAAAGGGCACTGCAGCTGGGCTGCTTGAGAGCGATGCTGACTCACCGTCGACTCCAAAAATGTCACAGAGGCAGGTGGTCTCAGAGATGACACTCCTCTGAGCGGGAATGTTGATAATGTCAAAGATTTCAACGTGGTTAGGGGTACCCTCACGATGGCACAGGGAAAATGTGCGGGGCACACTGCGCTTAAAGGAGTAACTGTCCCCCTGGAGAGTCCAACTGTCCATCGCTAGACCATGAGCTCCAAAGGATCACTGTGGCCAGTCCTGCCTTCTTCTCCAGTGGGCTTTTGGCTGGGTTCCTGCAATAAGATATGGTCACCTGGAGGGCGTGTAGCACATTCATTCTACAAGCAACATTATATAAGAATGACTACGTTTATAATAACAGCTATTCATCTGCATTGCATAGGTTTCATATGAGATTAATATAAAGATAATTAAAAGTCAATATGGCTAAAAAAGGACCCCATTTTAAAAAAGCAATATCACCCAGATGCAGCTGACAAGAACAACATGATCGTGTAGTTTCATAAAATTCCCAAAAACAGCATTTACTTTGAATGAGTGATAAATCTTCTGTAGTTATATTATAACACATCTTTGCAAAAAGAGTAACTTGGTCTCACGTGTAGTAATGACCAAAGAAAGACAGATACTTCAAGTTGATGGTTTCTATGATAAAAGAAGACAAACTGAATTATTTTCACCGTACCTGAGGCGTCTGATAAAGGGCTTTCTGGAGGCTTGGAGATCTTCAGTAGTTCCAAATCTGTCCCTCCTCCAACAAAAAGTCAGCAAAAGACTCCAGGGTAAAAAGACCCTGTTCGTCTCCAGAACCAAGGAGCTCTACATCACAGGCTGATGGAGCCAGACTGACTGGCACTGCCATGTATTAGGCTTGAACAGAAAAAGAAAAGAGGAACCTCCTCAGAAACATTACATCCCCTAATACTCTTATCTCCATTTGTGCCACACCCCTCTGAGCTGCCAGCAGGGAAAGCGTTCACAGAGAGTGGCTCAGATGATTTTTTTTCTTCTCCAGCCTGAGGTTCACATGGGCTTTGGCTTTCCAGTGTAAGCCGGGGTGGGGTACCTCATGGGGTGGGTGGGTTTATAGTTAGCAGCAGATGCTGATCAGGCCAGGACCAACGAGCTCGTCTGGAATCTGACACTTACAGCCAGCTCAGTCACATTGCTTCTCTATATATAGACTCAAATTATCAGGGCCATAGAGACATAGCTTTAGTTTTTGGCTGGGTGTGCTGATGGGAAAATAAAGGGTAACTACTGTGCTGGAAGAATAGCTCATTCATTGTTCCCTTTGCCACAACTTCTAACAGTTTATTTAAGACTTAGGATGCAGTAAATCTAACTTTGTGGGAAGTTGTAGATGAGTACCGGCTGAGGGATGGCTACAGACGGGGGTCAGAGGTTGACACAGGCCATTTGACTTGGTCTCATGTGAAGCACTCACTGCTTAGTTGGCAACACTATTATGGTAAGTTGAAGTGATATACTTTAAGCAAGTTTTTGCCCTCAAATGTCCAAACTCCGATTTTAAAAATAAAATCTTATGAAGCAACCCTGATTGATGCCGTTCATGATGTCATTTCTACTGTACCCACCCAATCGTGTTACAATAGCAAGGCCTAATCAGCAATGCTGAGGGGGGTCTAGACATGCATGAGGTTATATAAGCCCCTCTATTCCAGTTATAATACCTCATGTCATTACCAATTATTCACAGGCATTAAGTCATTCTTTGACAGCTTGTGGAAAACTTCTTTGAACAAAAGGTTCCAGTTTTATCATATCTCACTGGTAGAATAACATCCTATTTTTACTCACTTTACGTAATGACCTTCAAAAGCTAGGTTTGTTGTGAACTGTCCATCTGGACATGTTTGATCTTGCTCTAATCACTTTGAATATCTAAGTTTTTACTTTGCAGGCGTTCATTGTCTCCAAATGTAATATCAAACGCATCATGTAGTTCATTTTATTTATAGAGGACAGTTTAAGAGTTTTGATTAAAACTGGTGTGGTCACTGCTGTAGTGATGGATTCTGTTTTGAAACTGCACATTCCTACAGTTGAACTTTTTTTTTTTGTTAAATTACAAAAAAAAAACAATTCAGAAAATAGAAATGCACCTTTTTTGTGTGTTTTCTTTGTTTTCCCTTTTGCCTTCCCGTTTCTTGCTGATGTGGAAGCAGACTTCTAGGAGTTATCTTGTATTTTCTGTTTTCTTTTTTTACTCCACTATTCTTTCTTTCTCCCCCTCCCTCCCTTTCCCTCTTTCTCTCCTCTCCCTTTCTAGCCTTCCTTTCCTTCTCCTTGACCACTGCATATCTTTTTTTTCTAAAGCCACTTCTAGTAAAGTTTTATAAACAATTACCAAGAGGAACCTTATGGCAACAGCCACAATGGTCCACTTTTATAAGGACATTTGTTGGGCCAATATCCAGCATTGGGCTATCACTTATTTATGCTATATTGGAAAACAGGACACATAGAAGAAAAAAAAAAGAAATTTGCATTATTTTAATGAACTAATTTTGTTTTGTCTGTTTACCTGAAGTAGAATAAACATGTTTAAAAACAAATTTGGATTGTGAAGAGGTGTTTAAAGTAATTAGAACAGCAAGTAGAGATGCAAAAAACATTAATGTTCCTTTAAATTGACGATATTGATTACAGGTGCACAGTTTTAATTTATCTCAACTGTTAATTAACCAAAGCAGAACTTTTAGCACAATCAGAAACATTACAGTTAAATTTATTTGGATTCCCTCTCTGGCAATTAAAAGGGCAAAAGCAGGCTATAAACGAGGTTTGCATTAAACTTTCTGTTTAGTAAAATTTGAAGCAAAAATTCAATTAAAAACTTATCAGAAGAGGCAACATAAGATAAAGTCAACAATGGTAAACATCTTAATATGTTATGGAACAGGAACAGAGGGTTATAACAGTTTGAAAAAATAAATAAA